TCTTCATACACCAGTACTCTCCTACTAGGCATGTAATAGGCATTTGCGTGGTTAAATTCCCTCAGCTGACTTGGGGTGTCATGTTAGAACCAGCCAGTGTCTCTTCCTAGTGAGGGTCAGGTCCATTTTGACCGCAGTGCCCCTGGAAGCCACAGGACTGTAGGGAACGGTAGGTGCAGAATGAGTGCTCTGCAAGTGTGCGCCGATGGTCCGCACGCTCTGTGAGAGGATGGCTTCAGATGCCTGATGCAGACTGGCAGGTTTATCAGAAGACAAGGAACGGCTGCCTGCACTGCACATCTGAGGGCATGGAGTGCACAGTGTGAGGTCAAGAGAGTAAATCTGTATTTCTGTCACTTGGACACATACCAGGTCGCTTGGATGTGATGGGAATTGTGCCTGCTAACGTGGCAAATTCTCCCCCTGGCAGGAGGGCCCGAGTTTGCTGGCTGCCTACGCTAGCAGACTGGCAGAACCCAAGGCATCCAGGGTACAGCTGTCAGAGCAAGAACAAAGGTGCTCTGGATTCCTGACGAGGGGGGACCTTGTGCTCGGGCATCTGCAGTGTTTTAATCCAGAAAGAAGAAAAGTGATGGCGGGCCACAGCCAGGAGATGGGTCATGCTGTTTGGGTCATGCTGCCCAACTGCTCGTCCTATGACCTTCCTCTATCAGCCCCAGGCAACTCTAGCTAACAGTAGAGCTTCTTTGGCTCAAACTGTTGTTTGTGAGCAGGACTTGTCCTAGCCACTGACAGACTGTTCAGTACTAATGGAGATGGGCCTTTAACCCCTCTTGCTTGTGCAAAAAGTCAAGAGAGAGAGAGAAAGGCAGGCACGTGCACATTCATACAACTGCATTTAACATTTCTTGCTATTTGAATAGGAGCACCATTCGTCTTTAATAGGACACACTGAGGGGTACATAGTATCTAAAGTGCATAACTTCAACGTAACCACGAAATGCACCAGGCAAGGCCAAACTGAGAGATGTATACAAACTGCAAAAGCAGTGCTGTTCAGAACAGTCAACTTCATGAAATACAAGAAGAGTAAACAACTATCATGGGTTAGATGGACCAGAGGGACCAAGGCAGGGGTTCTCAACCCTCCTAATGCCATGACTCTTCAATACAGCTCCTCGTGTTGTGGTGACCCCCAGCCATAAAATTACTGCATTGCTACTTCCTAACCGTAACTTTGCTGCTGTTGTGAATCGTAATGTAAATATCTGACATGCGATCCCCCCCCCCCCCCCAGAGGTCACAACCCACAGGTTGAGAACCACTAGACTAGGGCTATGATAACGAAACGAAGCTTGGGGTTCTGAAGTAAGTTTGAAGAGCAAAAGTGGAAAAATTCTATTAAAAAGTTGAAATTGTTGCACGGGTGTTCAGTTTCTGGCTTTTAAGTTTATAGCGACTGGGGGGGGGGGGGGGACTCTGCATGGAAAGTTTCCTATTTTGGTGACTTGTCTTCGTATCCAAGGTTACGTAAAAATTTTTAAAATTGTATTTGCTGATGCGCACACACGTATGTACGTGTGTGTGCATGTATGGAGGTCTGAAGGTAACTTTTAGGACTCAGTTTTATTCATTATGTTGGTCCCTGGGATTGAACTCAGATTGTCAGTTTTGTTGGCGATTACCTTTACCCACTGAGCCATCTTCATCAGCTCCTAAGACGACTTTAATGTAAAAAGCCTTAAGAAAATTCGTCATGGGGAGGATTGGTAAAAACATGACTCATGTCACGTTGTTGATATGCGGACAAATGAGATAGCATGCGTTCAGTAATTTGCAAATTTGCACTGAGTTCCGGCACATTCGTAGTGTTTGAGAGTAGTGGGAGTCCAGGCTGCAGCGTCAGAGGAGTACCAGGCGCTAGGATTAGCCCTGCCTTGCTGGAAGCAGGCCAGGCAACTGAAGCCTGCTTGTGAATCTATTTTCACACAGGCACACTTGGGGCATTCTGGCATTCTCAGGAGCCAGAGCCTACGGGATGAGGTGCTTAAGCCTGAATTTCCCTAAGAACCTAAATTCTTAAGTGGACATTCGGCTCTACTGTGGGATTCTTGTTTTTTGGTTTGTTTTGTCTCATAGTGCTGGGGATTGAACACAGGACCTCACGTATCTCATGAATGCATTCGAGAGACCATCAGTGTATGCCACAGCCCCAGTTCTCACTGCCAGGTGCTTAGTGAGTCAGAAACAGTTAGAAAGTGACTTGGCTTAAATACTCCTTGTGGTAGGAAAGATGAGTCCCTGGCTATATTATATATCGGTTTTTCGAGACAGAGTTTCTCTGTGTAGCCCTGGCTGTCCTGCCACTCGCTCTGTAGACCAGGCTGGCCTTGTACTCAGGCATCTGGCTGCCTCTGCCTCCCAAGGGCCGGGGTCAAAGGTGTGTACTACCGTCACCTGGCAGGTCTCTAGGTAATTTTAAAGAGGCACTCACATTTCATATTCATGACAACCAATTCTAGCCTTTCTTCAATTTTTGCTTTTGGCATTATTCTTAAAAAAAACAAAAAAACAAAAAACAAAAAACAAAAAAAAAACCTATCAGTATACACACAATGAATTGATTTAACAGTAAGTTAGTAAAAGTACTGATGGCAAAAAGCAATAGATAGGCACACTGAAGATCAAAGTTTGGGAAATAAGGGCTTAGAATCAGAAGAAAAAAAATACATAAAAAAATCACTTGACCTGTAGCCACTTCAAAAGGAGAAGCACCTTTAGGGCAGAGAGGCAGGTACTTGCTTCCCATACTCTTAAACCAGCTTCGCCTCCTATAAATGAGGGATACAGGGAAGGCAATTTCATTCTTTAAGCGCCTCAATTTTACCCATCATATGCATCAACAGTTAAATTAAAATATGCATACAAGTTCAAAGCCTGATTTCAGGAACAGCCTTTGAGTAGGAAGGAATAACTCCTCTTCACAGCCTCTTCAATATTTGTTTCACAAGGATCAATTATAGACTATGGCTAATGCACACTTGGAGGGTGCACCCAGCCACAGCACAGGTGGCGAATGCAAAACACACACCGGGAGTCCTTTTAAGCAGCTAAATGCACACTCCATTACAGATCCATAATGCAGAATGGACACACGTCTGCAAATGGATTCAGAGTGGAGAGTCCTCAAATGGCTGGGTACTTGGGTCTGAAAGGCCAGCAACTGGATGTGCAGTCAGAGCACACATGGTTTTTAGGATTAATAATGCATCGATGTGTGTCAGTGTTAATACACATTTACAGCCCACAGCCGGTGTGGCTGAGTGTTCAGCCCATTTGCAGCCACATATGAAAGGGCGGCTCAGTCCTTCTTCTCATTAATGCCTTCACTCCCAGGAAAATTAGATTACACAAGAAAAGCCATTCAGAGGATATTGAGGTCTGCCTTCCTTCAAGCCTTCACTAGAAAAAGCACTCGACATGGCGATGCAGGGTCAACCTCCACCCCCGCTGGACCCCTCAGAGCCAGCGCTGGACGGAGCTGACAGTCCATCACTCTCCTTGTGGTGGTGGGTCCCTGAGTCTTGGGACGTGCATGCGCTTGGCTGAAACAGAGCTAAGGAAGCTGTTCACAGGCTTCATGTTTCTCCTCTTTCCACGTCTGATAAGGTGACTTAACCCTTATCAGGGACAGACGGGATACCTTAAAAATGAGCGCCACACGGATGATCACCAATGCCAGGGCTTTAAAGGTATTAAAGCTTCATTCACTTAACACTGAGTACTCGTCAGGATGGAAATCTCAAATCTTTACGCTGTGGAGAGTACTGAGATGTTATTTTTCAGAGCAAGAATTCTGAGGGTTGGACAAAGGCATGGCATTATTTAGCACGCAGCAGCTATACTGAGTATTAATGTCAAGGCAGAAAACTTTTAGTGAAATACAACAAAGGGGATGGAAAAAATGATTTAAATATATAAATAAATTAAGATATAAATAAGCAACAAAAACTAATTCCTTTGGTACCTTACAATGTACACTGCTGAGGCTCTAGTCCTAATAGTACTTAGTATTGTTAGTACTTAGTACTGTTAGTACTTAGTACTGTGTGCTTACTAGAGCTCTACTTTCTATGCCTCTTACACTACTCAAATTAAACTTCGAAAGTCATGCTCCCTTTTCTAGATAAGGAAACCAAAGTTCAGAAATGCTGACCGACTTGCACGAGGTCACAAAGGGACAGAGATGTGTGAGGGCAGACTTGAGAGGGGAAAACCCAAGCGGAGAGGGGTCTGTTAATGTGCCGTGACTGTTTTCCACACTTCCTCCTTTGTGGGTGGGCACCTGTGTTACAGGGACTACCTTGCATTTTAGACAAAGGAAAGAGAAAGGCTCAATGTCACCCTCGGTGAACGTAGTTGTGTTCTGGGTATCTGTGTGTGCTTTTGTGCCCCCAACAATACTTGACCCTGACAGCCACATCAAGGTCCCACTGAAGGTCTCTTAACAAGCCAGGGTGTGCAGCCCCTAAATTCCTTGCTCTTCAGAGAGTCGTTTTCTTTCTTAAATTACCTTTCCCCCAAGAATCCCAAGGCCCCAGCCATTCTTTGCGAAGCAGTCTAGATAAATTAATAATACAATTTAAAACCAATTCCATGAAGATAAATAGCACTTCCTAGATTAAGAGTGTAGCTGGCCAGAATGAATGAAATTTACTAACCCTGAGATGCTTAATCTTCCATTACACAGAAGCTAATGATTATAAGAAAGGAGTGATGGTAATTCACTTCTGCTTTTACAGGAAACCCGACCATCTCATTTTTAGCAAATCTTTCTTCTCAGCACACCTCAGTGCCAAGGCTGACTGCCTTACTCCTATAGGCATACTGGCCGCTGGTTATATATCAAAACACGCTCCTTGCCAAAGGGGGAGCCTTGGCGCACGCATGCGTATAGAGTCCCCGTGCTTAAGACTTATTGGGAAGGCATCCTGGGTACTCCTCCTCTCAGCCCACTGCAAGGAAATGGTGACACGTACCTTTAGCGCAGTCTGCACCTAGGAATCCTGGGAAACAGTGACACAGTCCGGACACGCATTCGCCATTTCCGTGGCAGTTACGTGGACAGTCCTGCACCGAATCTGAAAGAGAGAAGAAATTGAGCAATGACCTTCTCCTCCGCTCTTGTGCAGTCACTCAGCAACCAGTCACCTGCCATCTGTAAGGATCCAAAAGCGGGTGGTGAGGAGCAAGAGTGAGAGAAGGGAGAGGACAGGGAAGGTGGAGTCAAGGGCAATATGAACAAAGCATGGAAATAACCACCACTCTGCCAGCGCTAACCCCACATTGGACTGGAGGGAGGATGCTGCACAGTTTTTATTTGTATTATTTTTTAAGACTTTCATATTTTTTTGTGTATAAGCGTTTGGCCTGCTTTTATGTCAGTGTACTGTATATGCATATAGTGCCTATGAGAACTAGGAGAGGGAGTTGCATTCTCTGGAATAGGAGTTACAGGCAGTTGTGAGCCCTGATGTAGGTGCTGGGAACCAAATCCAGGCCCTCTGCAAAATATAGAAGTGCTCTTAACTGCTGAGCCAAATCTCTACTCTTTTTTGTTTATTTGTTGTAGAATAAACTGTCTATTCAGATTTTATTTATTTATTTATTTGTTTATTTATTTATTTAAGAAGAGACTGTCTATTTGGATTTTACTTTGGAAGTTTCCACATCTGGTCATTGACAGGGTTTTTCAAGCACTATGCTCTCCCTCTCTGGAATGCCTTTGCCCTGAAGTCACTCTACCAGTTCAAGCTGTGGCTTGAAATTATGGGATCTAAGATTCCAGCCTCAGGTCTAGAGGGTCCAGCAGGTGTTCCTAATCTCAGGTGCGTAAGGCAAAACTGTTCTCTGCCTTTAGGAATTAAAATATGAGAAAAACCCAAACCCAGTCATGAGCTGCATGGAATATTTGTTTGGTGCTGGACAAGGAATCTGGCAGCATGGGCCAGTGCTCCGTCAGCCTTCTCTGCTTGTGTGAGGTCTTCATTATGTGAACGCCAGGGTGAAATGAAACAGTTCTTGAGTGTATCCCTATCTTAGGTGATTGTGGCTACGCTTAGGTCTTGTATTCACCTATGCATGTTTCAGGGTTCTGCTAGCAGTAGGTTTGGGGTTCTACGTGGTCTTCTATGTGTGTGGGTGTTTTCCCTGCATGCATGTCTGTGTACCATGTGCATGCAGTGTTCTTGGAGGCCAGAAGGAGTCAGGTGTCCTGGGACTGGAGTGATAGATGTTTGTGAGTTGCCATGTGGCTACTGGGCATTGAGCCTGGGCCTTCTGTGCTGTTGACCTATGAACCTTCTCTTTAGCCCTCTGCAACAGTCTTTTAAACCTCATTTTTGTGGTCCTGACTTTCCACAAACATCACTTAGTCCGAGCTTGCTCTACCCCTACACGAGCCTGGTTTCCCTTCTCTTCATGCTCTCATTACATCACTCAAGGGGTCACTTTGGAAAATTTTCACGTTGATTCAGATGGACACAGAAATGGGCGCGTTCTTTCAAAATAATCATTCTTGTTTTAAATGAAAACAAAACACACTTAAACTTTCAGGTTCCAAATGGCTAAGATGAAAAAAAAAAAAAAAAGAACTATGCAAGCCAGTAGGCCTGACATATGACATGATCCAACCCCAGGAACAGAGGGTGGTGAATTGGTGGATGGGGTACCCTGACGGAGTCATCTGAGCAATGCCAGGATGTGTGTTCTAGTTCCTCACACACCCCTTCCCTGTACCGAGCACTCGCACCGTGCATTCTGGCCATCTTTCTACGGCACTTCACTTCCTCAGCTCCGTTCTTCCACAATCAAGCTGTTTGTGGTTTCCGACACTCTGAGGAAACTCGACAAGTGGATTTGCTTTATTTTTCTTTCCCAAAGCTACATCAAAACAAAGCAAAACAAACCTATAGAGCTACTTTTCTCGATGTCTAGCAGTTCGTAGCTGCAGCTGCAGCTCCTTCAGGCGAGCTCTTTAAAGGGCTGAGAAGCATGCAAAGGTACCTATGTGTTCTGTGAGCTCGTCATTTAGTCAAAAGATACTGGGTGCTTCTGCAGACACAAAATTCAGAGATTTCATGTAGGGCCGGGGAACGGTTCTGCCCGGGTTTTCTCCTGTTTCTGTGTGTCTTGGGAGCAGAGGCCTTTGGGGAATTCTGGGCTATTGCAGAGCACCTTCTCAAGGCTGTTTATGTATGGCCTAGGCAGACAAAGGAAATATCTCTCCAGGGTAAAGGGCAGGATCACCAGGATTAAGAGAGAATGTCTTCTCTCTGGGGCAAAAGATAATCGTGGTTACTATCCACGCTGAGACCCAGCCTCAGGAAGCTTAGGGTTTCTCTCATGCAAAGCAACACTCTGTATGGGTACGATCATGAGGACCTCTCCCTGATACCCTTGTGGACATTGGAGATTGCAATCCGCACTGCTCTGACTATAGAAATACATTGTCTGTGACCCTGGAGTCTTGTACATGAGTATGTATGTGGCGGCTGCGGGTCTGTGTTGGGTGTCTTCCTCTATTGCTTTTCACCTTATATTTTTCTCTGACTGAATTGTGAGCTTGCTGATATCGCTAGACAGGCTAGCTGGCGAGCTGCAGAGTCCTCTGGGACTGTTTCCTCAGCACTTCGGCTCCAGGTGCCCATTGTCATAGTTGGAGTTTTAGGTGGATGTTAGGAACTGAACTCAAGCCCTCACGCTTGCACGGCAAGTGTTTTTTTCACTGGCTGGGCAACCTCACCAACCCACCCTGCAGCCTAATGTCTTCTGATGACACTCAGGAAACAGTGACAGGCTAATGTGTTAGCTTGTACCTAGGACAAGATCTCAGACCTGTCAGTCTCAACATGGGGCTCAGTGTGTTAACTGAGCACCTCTTCTATGCCCTTGTAGGAGAATACAGTCTCTACCCTCGTAATGCTTTCCACTGTCACTGAGAGCATAAGGAACCCCATTTCCCCCAATCAAACAAATAAGTAAAATTTATAGGAAGTACTTTGCAGAGAGTAGGATACTTGGGGGCTGGGGGGGGCAAACAGAAGGAAGCCCCTTAAAGGGAGTAGAGTGGCACCCTCTTTCATACGGTGCCAAGGAAGGATGGGTCTTAAGAGGCTGATGAGAAACTGGTGGAAGAGAATTCCGGGTCAGTGGAACAGCTTATGCAAAGGCCGGGGAAGAAATGAGCTGAATCCAGTTTGACTGGAGATGGTGGGCCCAAAGCAGAGTGACATGAGTTTGGAGAAATCTAGATGGGGGTTGGGGGGTGAGGAGCATATTATCCAGGGTCCCACAGTCCACCAGACAAGTAGGATCTTGTCCTGGGGTTACTAGAAACAGGTGAACATCCTAAACAGGGGAATGCTGTCGCTTAGCTGGTAGTTTTGGAAGTTGTTCCCACTGTGAGGTAGGGACTGCTATTCACTGATTATATGTGGCTGGCTGTTTTTGGTGGGACTGGATCTCTCTGGGGCCAGTGTTCCCAGTTCCTGACTTTACATCCTCAGGCCTAAGGCAGCAAGGGGCTAGGAAGCTCCTCACCATCACATTTCTGTATGAGTGGACAGAGGTCTCTGCATGCTCTCCACCTGACTCAGGGCCCCAGCTAGGAACATGTATCCTTATGTCTCAGGCGTCAAGCAGAGGCCTAGCAGCTTCTCCCATCCCCTTCCTCCCCGTGAGCTTTATTGTCTCTTCTGTTCCTGTCATTTCCCTCACTGGTGTGGGGTGTCTATCTTATTTATTTTTTTTTTAACCAAACACCTTCTTCCCTGATTTCAGGAATGAGGCCAGATGCTATTGCTCTTCGAGGTTTTTCAGTGTCCAGTATAGAGTGAGCACTTGGTGAGAAGTCACGGCTGTGCTGACGTGTGCACGCGCTTAAGAGGGTAGAGAATCTAAAGTGAAAAAAAAAATCTATAATGGAGGCAATACTGAACAGTTACTGAACACTTACATCACTTTTTCTTGCAGTTTTATATTTGTAGTATTTTTATAGTTTTTTTTTTGTATGTGTGTGTGTGTGTATGTGTAGGGGGATGGAACCCACACAGAGATGCTAAATTATAAAAGGACTGTCCACTTCAAGTCTGTTTCTCAATTATACATGATTACAATCTTTGAATCAACGTGGTTTAAGTTTTATTGTGAGAGAAACAGTGGAGATGAGGGCACGCCCAGGAATTCAAAGAGGTTTTGGTCCTTGCTGTTGTTTGTGGCAGTGAGATTTGAAGGCAGGGCCTTGCACACACCAGGCAGGTGCCACTATTGAGCTCTTCCTAGAACCAGGAATTGGGGTTGTACACAATGGAGGCTCATACCGAACTCCTAAAACACCCCTCCGTGGTTCCCAAGCGGAGGCTCATTCCTGCAAGCCAGACTGCATCTCAGAAGATGGCAGAGCCCTGGGTCTAGTCAGTGAGATTGCCCAACACCCATCTAACACTCTCCTGTTTCCCTTCGCAGGGGTTTTCATGCTCCTGGATGCTCTCGAAAGAGGATGCTCTGATGATAGGTATGTGGGAGAGAACTTCCGGACCGAATAAAACACTGTTCTTTTCCCACATTTCAGGCCAATTGCTATCATTGCTCTATCAAGATGTCTGTCCAACTATTAGGCTGATTACCGTTGACTCTCTCTCTCTCTCTGAGCTTCAACATTGATGAGAGGGGTCCTCTTGGGAGAACTGCTATTTCCAGCTCTGACAGGCAGGGAGAGTAAATGGCTGAGGGTGGGGGTAATCTTTACACTACCTGTCTGTATCCACACTGGTTGAGGAAACGGGGGTCAAGTGCTGTTACAAGGTAACCAGGCCTCCAGAAAGCCTGGTTCAGGGGAATGGGATTCGTTTGGCTATAGCCCAAAGAAATCCACGTGTAAGAGCACAGCTGTGGGAAGTCTGTATTCTGACTTCACCTCAGTGGTCTGGTGACCTTGGGTGGATCCTTTCCATCCTCTTAGCCTTGGCATCCTCCACCCACAAAGGGCAGAGAATCAGCGGCTTTCTCTATCACTATGGCTAGTCTGTGGTTTGGGTGAGCTGAGGAAAACCAACGGAAAGTGAAAGGGGTGAGCACACAGTCCAGCACTTTGTGTTACTGCTGTGGTGACCATCTCTCCAAGCCTCCCAACCAAGTCAGCTGCTGTGCCTGCCTGCTCATGTACCTTCAGAATTTAAATACCAGGTGGTAAAAAGGAAGTAATTTCTCATCATGTTCTTTAGTCTCAGATCTGCTTTTTGTTCCTTTGGTGAGTTAGTCTCTGCTGTTTTACTTTGCTCCCCTGTTGGGACCTAACATCACTCTAGAGATTTTCCCATCTGTTGGGAGCTTCCTCCATGACTTTCAGTAGACTAAGTTATGACATGGCTTTGGAGCATAGGTTGGCAAACTTTCCTTGTGAAGGGACAGATAGTAACTATTTAGGCTCTGTGGGCCATATGGTCCCTGTTGCAACACTCAGCTCTGCTGTAACAGTGGGAAAGCTGCCACATACAACATGCAAACAGATGAATGTGGCTATGTGCCAATAAAACTTTATTTATAAAAACAGGCAGTGGGCCAGATTCGGCCCCTGGCCTACAGTGTGCCAACTCCTACTCTTGAACATTTGGGTAGCCTTGGGAGGGCCCATTTTTCCTTAGCAGAGGAATAAGGATCAACCTCAGACCTATGGTCACTCCAAACTTTGTGATTTTACATAATTCTGAAGTGGTCAGTGACTAAAAATTGTAACCTGACATTCCGCTTGGATTACATAGACCTTTCAAGAATGAGGAATTCCTTGAAAAAACCCAATGGGGGCCCAAAGAGGAGTTCTATCATGTAGTTAGTCCATAAGCAATGTTTCAAGGTGCTTTCCTAAAGTCGCAGGCTCATTTATGACTACTGGCTGTAGGCCGGATATAGTTCATTCATGGTGATCCTTACATTTTCCATTAGGATATGATCATCTCATCTCCCCAGATAGGCCCTCTAGGCCCAGGCAGCTCACTTAGCTACAACGTGGGAAAAAAGAATCTGGCACTCACTCGTGCTATTCGAGGTCCCTTTGTCATGAATTCGCCAAGTCCAGACCTCTCCAAGGAATCTTGATACCACAGCTAAAAGTAGCTGGAGTGACATGATGCTATGAAAAGATGATGCACAAGGCCTAGGAGGTAAGGCCATTCCCATAGCTTGGGACCCCCAAGTCCTCAGTTTATTCCTCAGTGGAATGGTACAGCCACATGCTGGCTCACGGAGCTTCAGTATGGATCAGTTATCATCCATTGGCTGGAGATGAAAACTCAAAACCTCACTGATGGTGACTATGTCTCCTTTCAATGTTAAAATTATGAGGGTTTTCTAGAAAACACGATTCTGTACAAGTAATCACCCTTTTGAGGGTTTATACGAACACGGCAGAGGCAATTTTGGATTAAACCCTCAGCTTTTGTCTTTATACCTAATGAAAAACAGGCCTAAAACACATCCAAAATGACAAGCGCTGAATTAAAGCATTTTGAGGTCTGCCTACTTGGGAATAAAGACTTTAAAAAAACAGCAGTATCTTTTCCCTTATGTATGTTTAAGTTAAAAAAAATAAACCTCTTTCATTTTGACATATTCTCAATTTTTAAGGGGTTAGAGCTGATATGAATGGCCAGTGTTTCTTGGCTCTGCTATACACTTAGAAATATAAAAAAAGCTTTCTTATTCCTAACAGAAGCCTGGGAGGTGATACTGGCATTGCCTCTGTTTTGTGAGATGGAAAGGGAGGCATTTACAAGCCCTGCTGTTTGTTCAATGTGATGTCTCCCATAGTACAGGCACCTGAATACTTGGTCCCTAGTTAGTGGCTATTTGGGGCAACTTGGGAGATTTGGCCCTGCTGAGGAAGTATGTCACTCGGGATGGTCTTTGAGGGTTCCAAAGACTTGTGCCATTTGGAGTTGACGCTCTCTGTTTCCTGTTTGCTGTTTTCTCAGCTCTCAGGTTTCAGCTCCAGCTGCTGTGCTTGCCTGCTGCCACATTTCTCTGCTGTTATGGTGAAGGACTCTTATCTGTACAGAACCATAAGCCCAAAACAAACCCTTCTTTTCTGCAATTCACCTCTGTCATGGTGCTTTGTCACAGCAATAGAAAGGTAACTATTATACTCAGTTTGGACACACAGTACTTGGCCCCAGCTGTCTGATTCAGACACTTGTGAGCATTCTCAGGCCCAGCAGTGACTCTTGCAAGTTTGTATGGAATTCCTGTGTAGTCAGAGCCAAGTGGGTGAGGCTGTAGAGACTCTACAAGATGCTGGTTTGGCCTCACAGATAGTAGACACTGTCAGGGCTGCTGAATCTTCCACAGGCAGCTCCCACCATTTCCATCCCATCCTTAGAGAGCTTACCCTCAAGGACCCCAAACCTACCTAAGACGACTGTATTGAAGGAAACCATCTCCTTGTCCTTGCCGTCATTGTAGAAGGCCAGGTGCCACAGGCCCACATCCAAGTACTGCACGAACACGGCCTCATTCTGCACCAGGGTCTGGATGCTACGGCGTTCCCTGGGCGACTCGACCACACTCCACTTCTCCTTTCCATCCAGGCGTTCCATGAAGTCATACTGAGGAGCAAGAGAGGGGGACATATGTAAACCAAATGTTGGACCTGTATGCTTAGCCAGCACTGCCCTCCTGCCTATCAGCTGACGGAGAAGTACTTTCACTCTGCACTCATAAAATATAACAAGCCACGTAAGTGGTGACAACGGTATCAGCTACAGTTCATTATGCCTGCAATAATTATTATTAATTTGTTTTTCATGGTCCTGGGGTTTGAACCCAGGGCCTTGTGGATGCCAGGCAAATGCTCTCTGATACTGAGCTATTATAGCCTTGCTTATTTTTTATTTTGAGACAGAGTCTTGATAAGCTTCTTAGGTCACCTTTGAACTTGAGATCCTTCTGCCTCTGTTTCTCCCGGTAGCTAGATTTATAGATGCTTCCCAATACTCCAGACTTAATTTTTATTTTTGCTTTGTAACGCTTGCAACTAAACCCCAGGTCACATGTGTGGTAGACAAGTGTTCTTCCACTGAGCTATATCCCTGCTCTGCATTATTAATCCTATTGCTATTAGTCACAAACTCTCACCTGTAGTCCTGAAATAATAAAAAAGTACTTTAATTGCAAGGATTATCCCCCTCTTACACATTTCCTCTCTCTTTCTTTCTCTCCTCTCTCTGTGCACGGTGTGTGTGTGTGTGTGTGTGTGTGTGTGTGTGTGTTTGGTTGTTAGATACAGAACCCAGTGTCTTTCCCATTCTAGATAAGCGCTTTACAGGCAGAGCTGTGTATTATTTTACACAGTATAGGATTATTTTACATAGTATATTTACACAGTATATTTTACAAGTATAGGAGAACAAAGTTCAGAAAATCCAAGCATTTTATTTAAAGTCACATAGCGAAAGTTTGGATAAAGTTCCATTCAGCTTTAATGTATAATATATGCCTTGATAGTTTCTGGGCTTACATAAACCTACATTTAAATGTTGAACTCTGTTTCAGTGGAAACCAGGTTCTAGGTTGCTAGAGGTGAGTGCAATACAGATCATTCAGGGAAGGTTTCTAGGGACGAGGGAGTGGGAGGATCCTACATTACCCACGGCAGAGTTAGAACCAAGTGAAATCTTCCAGCAGGCAAGTGGGAGCCCCTGAAAACTCGTGAGCAGTGACTGATGATAAAGGAATGTTCTGAGGAATTAGTTTCTGGAGGTGGGATATGGATATTCTATAGGGAATGAGAGTAAGTAGGAAAGCGGAGATGGCAGACAGCATGTGTGAGCTGAAAGGAGTTCGATGAGGACAGTAAGTGAGGAGCAGGCACCGGAGGGAGATTTTAAGGGAGAGAAGCCAGGAGTTGCCCATGGGCTGGACAGGGAAGATACAGAGGAAGGCAGAGAGGACGCCAATGTTTCTTCCTGTTGACAAGAAAATCGATAAACCGCCAGCAGAAATGGGCTAATCTCACAAATTCAAAGTCACTGCACAGAACAGTCCCTTGCACTCTGACTCCCAGAGATGACCCCATGTGTGGCACTTCAGAAGGTAAACAAACAAACAAACAAATAAACAACCCAAAACACCTCTGCAAGATTAAGCGCTCTACTTTCCCCTCCACAAAAAGAGTTTCATACATCGTAGAAATCAACCATAATTCCCCTCACAACTTCATAGGCGGATGCTCCAGAAATTGCCTAACTCACCATCTCTCTCCTTAGCATTGTCTACTTTCCAATGGAAACAGGACCACTGCCAACAAAAGAATTGGTAATCTCAAACACAAAGGCTCTGCCAATTAGATAAACTCAGTTTTGAATTCTCACTCCACACTTGCTATTGCTTGATGCTGAGCCTATTTTTATTTTCAGCGGTCATGGCACCTGAAGTTCAGGGACACAGTTACAGGGATGGCACAAGTTATTGCTTAGGGCTGTGCCTGCGTTGGCGGGGGGTAGGTGGGGGTGAGGGTTTGAGGGATAATAAGAATTTAAAATGTGCTTAGTGACTGAGGGCCACCTACTCGCAGACCGTGAGGACCGCAGGAAGGTAGCCCATGGCTCTAGTTTTTGTATGGGGAGCAAGATGACTACTTCTGAGAAGAAGACATGGCCCACATCTCAGTAAATAAGTGTGTGTGAGGGACTTCACTTTGCCCCGTAACTCCGCTGGTCACCATTGTCCTTATGGGCTGAAGTAAATGATTTGGAGGCATGTGACAAACTGACACTGCTTCCACAGACCTTTGTAACCAAAGCATTTGTTCCCTAGCAACCTCGGAAATGTCCGACCATGAACACTTGGTGTCTACAGACTGCTGTCAGCTGGAGCGATGGCTATAACTTCCTTGGTGGTGAAGTGAGAAGAATAGGCTTCATTTGGGGTCCGAGTTATCACCCCCATGAGGGAAAGTTTGGGGAAGGTGATTACTTGTGTGGAGCCATTGCTCATGACTAATTTGGGCATTAGTCATCTGGTGCAGAACTGGCTGGCCAGCCGAGGGACCCAGAAATGGCTCAGGACTAGTGGCAGGCCTTGACATCCAGCCAATCAAATGACGAGGGGAGAGGGCATTTTTCAGAGCAGAGGAAGGACATTTATTCTGGCTGGCTCCTTGGAGTCCTTCTGTGGAGGTTTAGAGGGCAGTTTTCATTTAAGGGGAAATCTGCCAGCTGTGGGTTCTCAAACAAGGCCTGGGTGGGAGGGTGAGACGAGATACAGTATGCCTCACCTCTGCATCATTTATGTCCTTCGTCGCTTCCTGAGCTCTTATCTTATCATTCCCTAAATGACACAATTGTTCTTATGCCCATCATTAGTCCAAGCAGAAGGATGTAAGCTACAGGCACAGGGATTCAGTGCCTGCTGGAGTGTTTAGAGTGATATCTCTAGGGCTGGCTTGCCTGGGTCAGGCTCTGAGCTCTGATCTCTACTTGCTTGCTTGCTTACAGCTTTGTGTAAGCTGTCAAAGGTCTGGGCCTCTGTCTTCTTGTCCTTGCGACAGGCATGACGATAGTGTCCATAGCAAAAATACAGCTCTGAGAATGAATGGAACTGATATGCGTGGTGCCTGTGAATGGTGAGTGCTGTGTGTGGAAACTGTGCGGTTGCCACTTTAGCTATCTCTACGAAAAGTCACTTCTCCTTCAAATCTGCCTGCAGCAGAATCTGATCGGTAAATGTGTGTTAAATATCAAATTAATAAAATAGCAAATTTGTAAATGCCTGATGTGGAGGGAAACAAAGTTGGAATGAAGTAAAATGTAAAAGAAAATAATGCAGGCATTATGTTCCCTTCCATCTTCTACTGTGCTCTCTTAAATGGGAGAGAAGAATACAGCTGTAGCTAGCCTGGAATGACCAGTCAGAACATGTGTGTGTGACTGTGGGCTGTGGGCCAGACAGCTGGATATTCATAGACACCATCAAGATTTGATGGATGCTTCCTAGCTCACTGGCATGGTAAACAATGTGGGTGGGCTTTGGCCCCTCCCCTGCTTCATCGCCCTTCTTTTTTGACACTGTAACTTGGTAGCCTCTGTGGCAGAGATCACTATGGTTGTGCATTCCCTTTACTGCTAGCTGTGCAAATGACCATTTAGGACAATTGGTCACAGGCCACAGAATCCTTCTAATGCTGTCACCAGGTACCCTGTGTGTCTCTCACTTATCTTCTCTCTTTTCTTTGAGTGTACAATCTAAGACAGCAGTGCCCAAGATAGCTGTGGCCTGGCTGTGATGATTAGCGCCTGGAGGAGATCCTGAAATTGTTCTAGGAACCATCTACCCGTAACTGCTGGGGAAACAGCCTCTGAAATGGTGACCTGTTCCTTCTGTAGGTTTCAGACTTCCCAGCTCCATTCCTCTTTTTCTTCCCCGTGTACTCCCCAAGATGGCAGTAGATTCCAGCCTTGTTCTCATTTCTCAACTGCAAGAAGAGGATGGTTCACACAGGAGAATGTGCTAGAGTCATCCATTGGTGAAACCTCAACTCTGTTATCTATAGAATGTCTCCCAGTTTGCCCATAGAGTATCCCAATTGACACACTGGGCCCTCTTTCAGGGAGACATTTGGCTTCTCTACTCATAGGCTAACACAGTGCAGAAACCATTCATTGATGCTGTGATTCAGGGAAGGTCCAGAAACACAAAGTGGGTCTATGGAGCAAGTGCTGGTTCTGCAGTCCAGGGCAGGGAGCTGGTTCTGCGGTCCAAGGAAGCTAGCTCCTGCTAGTTCAGGATGCCTCTGCTCTCTAGGATTTGGCTCCAGACAGTGATCTGCCAATGCACTTGGCAGAGGGGTGATACTATAAGAACATGATTTCTAGAAGTCTGGCTAGAGCTCCATCTTCACTGGGGGTTGATAACTCAGGCTCAGGACTGGGACCAGCTGCTTCCTTTGTTCCAGGAATGTGTAGTAATCTATCCAGGTAATGGAGACACTTGGGGAACATGCTCTACTTGGCTGGCTATAAAGGTCATGGCATGGCACATTCTAATAGGTTGGCAGTTGCCCTGAAGGACATTAGAAGCATGTAACACAGTCATAACAAAAGAGACACAGGTAGCTTGTGTCTCTCTCACGTTTCGGAAAGAAGAGGAACAGGGCAATAACTGGGAACAAACACTCCCTCTTTCTCTAAGCTCTCTCTCTCTCATGCTCTCTGACCTTGAAGAAATAATCCCAGCAGACATACCACAAGAGGGCTGTGTCTGTGAACCATCAGTCATGGCCCAAAGTGGCATGAAAATGCAACTTTTACGAGAGCTGGAGTGGCAAAGAAATAAACCATAGTAAATATTTGACTGATCCAATTATAAATCTCCCCAATTCTTGGCAGAGAGAGAGGAGGAATGGTAATTAAGATAACTTAGTGGGTTTCCACAGGAGCTGGTAGGGAGAGGAGACACCCGCACTAAGCCTGAGTGGGGGCTTGTCCCTTTCCCAGGAGGGAGAGCAGCCATCCACGCACAGGTCGCTGCTGGAAGCCTCCAGAATACGCACCTGCCAACAAGGCCAAGGTTAAAGACAAACCCATTGCCCTTTGGGACGATGTTATTA